AATTATATTTGGTATAGAATGGAGAAGGATATATCCACTTTTATTGTAACAAATCAATATTTTTTTTTTAGTGGATGATAATGGAGTGGTAACCCCACCCGCGCTATCGGTATACACCGGCGGGGCACCAGTGAAGGATGATAGGTGAGGATGAAGCAGGTCAGTTAGCCCATCGTGACAAATTCAACAAGAATTGTTCACGATGGTTTCCAGGGGGAACCACGTGGAGGTCGACCTGACAGCCCCATTGCTAGCAATATGCCCTATATTGCTAGCAATGGGGCTGTCAAACTCCATTACTAACAATCCCTTTCCCCCATAAATCAATATTGTTCCCGGTCACGCAAAAGTCATCTCGGACACAGCTATCCAATAAGTAGGCACAAATGTAATTTAAACAAAAGCGACTCGTGTTCCGTGTCAAATACCTAAATGGCATGGACAGAGATAGTATACATTGCTGTGATAATGATGGGTTAATCTAATTACATTACATTACATTTTATATATTTTATAATGCTATGAACTAGTCGTTTCTCGCGGCTTCGAACCGATATTTAATATATTTTTTTTGTAAAATTAATGTCTTAGGCATATAGAATATATAATAAATTACCTAAATCTCTCACAGACATAGGTGATATAAAAAAATTACAAAACTAAACTGTATGAATACCAAGTGAATAAAATATACTATTCAATTGAATGGATGCTGCTTGTTGGGACTGATCTGTTTAAGTTACAAACACTGATTAGACTCTGGTAAATTGTGTAATTATTTTTAGTAATTTACATTATTTTTTACATTTTTACATTATTTTTTACATTTTTACATTATTTTTGTGAGCTTGTTGAGTGCTGCACAATAGTAATAGTCCAAACGATAAATGTTACCGCTCCATCAGAGATTATAGTCGTTACCAGAGGGAGACTTTGTACAAAAGTCGATTGCTTAGGTACCTCTGTCCCATTCGTGTTTCAACCGTAAAACAGTTGTGTATGCATGGCTGTGTTTCGGTTTGAAGGGTGGAATATGGCGTGAATTTACTGGGTACAGAGGAATAACACCCGAGTCCTCAGGAATGGCAACGCATGGGGGGTTTCATGGTCGAAACTGTATAGTCTGTTATGTCCATGGTACTGCTCATGTCTATAGGCGACGGTTACCACTATCCATCAGGTGAGCCGTCAGCTTGTTTGCCATTCTAAGTTGTATAAAAAAAAAAAGAAAAAAAAGTATATGTTTTTTTTTAATTTACTTAAAAGAGATGTTTCTTATACTACAAAGGTGGTAAACGAGCATAACCCATCATCTGATGGTAAACAATCACTGTAATCTATAAACACTTGCAACACCAGAAATGTCACGTGCGCATTTCCGACCTTGAATAAACCATAATACGCTCCGTTTGAAGAATCCCATACTGTAGTCTCTAGGGAGAACCTCGGCAGGAAGCTCACTCCACAGACTGTGCTTTAGTTTCCGGAACTGATTACTATGTATGAGACGAGGTTTGAGGGCGCAAGCAAGTGAGGGAGTAAAGACCTTGGCACTCAGTTGTTTTCAGATTTTAAAACAAATAATACAATTTGATGAACTATCTGACTGAATATATATATATATATATATATATATATATATATATATATATATATATATGGTATAGTATGGTCCATACCTTCCTTTCCCGTTAGTGTCGTAAAAGGCAACTAATGCAACTAATTGGTCGAGGTATGGACAGCAGTGTCCCTCTTAAAGAAATACCAATACCTAACTGTGAACCTACTTGCCAAGATTGGCAATTACTAGCAAAACTCAAGAAAGTTACTATATTAATGGTTGATTAACTGAATTATCATATCAGCCATTATCTGCCTAGATCATTATAAAATGATGTACATGAATCAACGGTGAAGATGGCTTTAAGCTTTCGTACCCTGAAATATGACTACCATACCCCATATCATATGGGGGGAAAGGGGTTGTTAGCAATGGAGTTTGACAGCCCCATTGCTAGCAATATGCCCTATCAGGTCGACCTCCACGTGGTTCCCCCTGGAAACCATCGTGAACAATTCTTGTTGAGTTCGTCACGATGGGCTAACTGACCTGCTTCATCCTCACCTATCATCTTTCACTGGTGCCCCGTCGGTGTATACCGACAGCGCGGGTGGGGTTGCCATTCCATTATCACCCATAAAAAAAATACCCCATATCATACAGATTAATAAATATCTATTGAACAGAACAAGCAACAATCAGCATGTCTCATTTGTGTCACTCAATCTGGAATTTGTTTAGAACGATACAGAGAACCTTTGCCAAGTTCCCGGCGATAGTTCACAATATAAATCAACTTATAGCATATATTTCGGGGAGCAACCGTGCAAAAGATCATTAAAGGGAACGCGGGCACCAAATTCTTCGGTCACGATTGATATAACCTTCTTTTTTTATGAGGCTATAATACTTTTTTTTTATACAACTTAGAATGGCAGACAAGCTGACGGCCCACCTGATGGAAAGTGGTAACCGTCGCCTATAGACATAAGTAGTATCATGGACATAATACAGTATACTGTTTCGTCCATGATACTCCCCATGCGGTGCCATTCCTAAGGACTTCACTCTCCGAATTATTACCGGACAATCATAACCTCACCGAAATGTCGTGAAGATATATCGAATACGTGCAACGAAAATCAACTGACAGCGCCGTTTTGTACTCGTTATTTTTTTGATTAAAAAAATATCCTGACCAGAAAATCCACAAGAGGCCTGCTTGCACAGCGAAAACAATCCAACCTTTTCCCGTACAAAACGCAACCGGCAATTTTCGCACACACTCCTTTCCTAATTAAAACCTCGGCCGTGAATAGGTCTTTTTTACAGAAGCAATAAAAAAGTTACGTACTGGCACTAATGACTGGGCTTAATGGAAAAAAGTTGAATAAAAAAAAAAGAAAAAAAAAACAGAGTAGTTTGGAACTCTGCGAAACTTACGAGCGGCGCGTTACGATTCCATTTTCAAAACAAATGACGCGCGCACTCACCAAGTGCCCAGATAAAACCAACCAACGTAGGACGGTCCGTTGATATTTGACGTCGGCCCTCTATAGGTCCTATTTGGGAAATTTGGCAGAAGGGGTGGGTAGATCTTACAAGGTTGGAATTGCGTTACTTAAGGCACGTGCCTCGGGTGAGTTAACCTGCGCACAAGTTCGTGAATCAATCAACGTGGGAAGTCTGCCCGGCAATCGTTGGAGGGTGCCTTGTACGCATGCGTTGTCTTTAGGGATGCCATTGTCGATGTTTCGGGTGTCACGACTCAAAAATTTGTTTCGTTATTAGAGATTCGTGCTGGAATTAAGTCGATAGTCACGATCGTTCTTAACAAATTATATTAAAACAATTTAATTAATAAATTAATCGTTTTTCAGTAATGTTTCCATTATTAGTAGTAATGAATAGTCTGGAATATTGGTATATTTACTGATCACATTATGAAGAAATAATACCTATTATTTGCAGGGAGTCAGTGGATGCAGGTGGCTTAGGACCATTCTATATGGGAGTTTATGGGGAAGGCCCATGTTCAGCAGTGAATGGATTATGGCTTCGATGATGAGATGATAAATACCTATTATTTTAATACTAATTAAACTAAATACAAGTTATTATCTGTGACTTTGTCCGCGTAACAGGGATGATCATTGTCCAAGATAAAATGTAGTCTATACCCTCCTATTTGGTCCCGGCATAGAATGGGCCATCCTTTCTTTTCCCGTGAGTATCGTAAGAAGCGCTTAAGGGAACTTCATGATCGAGGGATAGGGAGCAGCATTTTTCTTTAAAAATCGCCAAAGACTAACTGTCACTCGTCAAGCGTGGCAACTACTGGCAAAATCGCGAGAGGTTATACCAGAAGCCTGCTTAACATATTAAGCAGTGGACATTCTTAGGATACCCACGGGAAAAATGGGTGGTCTATTCTATGCCGGGACCATACGGTGAGAAATATAGTACTTACTAAAGAGAAATTTCAAAAGTACTTTAGTATTTTACGCTAACATAACTTTTACTTGCATAGCAATATTTCGGCCTTTATATATAGCATATAGTAAAAAAAATATACCTTAGAAAAAAAAATGGTTATTGAGGGTATCACAGTTTATTTTGTAGTGTCTATGAAATGGATGTCATTTAAAATTGCATAAGAATTAATATTTATTTATTAATATGTGAACAGTAATATTGAGTGTAAGGAGTTATCTATCGATAACACACATTCCTGTAGTCTATTGCGTCTACATGCGTCATAGACAAATACTTGTCTATAACCATACCATACCATATCAGTCTTTAACTTACTGCTAAACATAAGCCTCCCCTTTGGGGGGTTTTGCCAGTAGTTGCCAACGCTTGGCAGGCGGATTGGCAACCGCAGTCAGGCTTTAGAGATGTTTTAAGATGGGCGCTGTTGCCCATCCCTTGCATCCTCTTGCCGCTCTCTTGGTCGGCTCTTACGACACCCACGGGATAGGAAGGGGTGGCTTATTCTATGCTGGGACCACACAGCCGTCTATAATAATTGTTTATAACTTGATAGAAAATTAATCATCTTGATTAGCAAAGCAACTCCGTGATTATAGTGTATTGCTGCTTGGTATTACGTTTTTTTTATAATACAAAGGGTAAACGAGCATGCGGCTCACCTGATGGTAAGGTCCTACCGTCGCTTTAGTCTTAAGTCTAAAATGAAATAAAAACAAGAGAAAATATATATAAGGCAGTTGTTCGCTCTGTTCGGTCTCGCAGTTATTCTATATATTATTTGCCGTCACTTTATTGTGATCACGAACAGACATATTGTCTATTAATCTTTGCTTGTAAACTTTTTATCGACAGTTCATCTCTTGGCATTGTTGTTATCGATAGAATCACGTCACTGGCCAGACAATATCGCACGAATCCCGCCGAAACGTACCAGTTGACTTGACAGTATCCACGCGCAACCGGTGTGTGCCGACGTCTGCCACATGCCGCCCGCGTCAGATCGCGTCTACACGAACGATCAAGGTACGTCACTAAAACTTATAGAAAAAAAATACAAAAAAAAAATTTTATTGCCATAAGCGTTCCTTTTTTGAACTTTTCTCGGCGGCGTGCTATTTTTCGCGCGCTTTCGCAGATATTCAAACGTCATTTACGGCTGTTTACGGTGCGGCTCTTTTTAATTGATAGCGTTCTCGGTGAATTTGTCTCGTGCGAATTTTAAGTTAATTATCAGCGGGATTTTTTTTTTCTGTGCCCGCCCGTATGTAAAGATCGATGTTAGAAAAAATTATTTGTTATTTTCAGCCAGTAATTTTCCACGTTGAAACTTTCAAGTGGTAATTATATTGTCATTAGATGTGATGTCTAATTTTGAGATATTTACTTACTATGTTGTAATTATTGTGAGTGAATTTTATCGAGCAAATTTTAATATATCTATGTAACTTTACTGACAGTGTTTGGGCTGTATGAACGTATTACTTAGCCTTGTCGTATATTTGTTTATTTAGATAGACGAATAATATTGCATTTTGTAGAAAAATAAATATTTAATACATTATTCTGTAAATATTTATGTACCTTAAATTAATACTAAAATTATGGAACAATACATATAATGTTAGTGCTTGTACAGTTTTTTATGCGTCAACAATTTATTACATTTTATTATTTTATTTAAAAAGAAAGTATATTTTTATACCAGCTGTATCCTGCGACTTTGTCTGTGTGAATTTATATATACAATATCTTATGTATTAAGATTTAACCTACAAAACCAAATACCAAATTTGTTTACCAAATTTCATTCCAACCCGTTCAGTAGTCTTAAACACCTATGCATCCATCCATACATGTCCATGGGATGTCCAATTTTTTTTAAATTTTAATGGGTGATAATGGAGTGGTAACCCCGCCTGCGCTATCAGGATACGCCGGTGGGGCACCAGTGACGGATGATAGGTGAGGATGAAGCAGGTCAGTTGGCCCATCGTGACGAATTCAACAAGAATTGTTCACGATGGTTTCCAGGGGGAACCACGTGGAGATCGACCTGATAGGGTGTATTGCTAGCAACGGGGCTGTCAAACTCCATTGCTAACAATCCCTTTCCCCCCGGGATGTCCAGTTAATTATATCCATAAAATTTTCAAATATAACTTGTGCACTGATAATGTAAACAGAAATAATATGATTTTTATATTGGAAAGCATAAGTAGTGTATTAGATAATATTTTTCAAACATACCAAAGGTCCATGTGGTCCCGGCATAGAATGGACCACCCCTATCTTTCATGTGAATGTCGTAGGAAGCGAAGGAACTTAATCATTGAGGGTAGGGCAGCGGCGTCCCTCTTAAAACATCTGTGTAAGCCTAACTGCGGTTTATTTTACTGTATATAATGTAAAGTAATATATTGAAGTATATATATATATATATATATATATATATATATATATATATATATATATATATATATATATATATATATAGTGCTAGTAATGCTAGTAATTGAATTGCCAATCTTGGCAAGTAGGTTCACAGTTAGGTATTGGTACTTCTTTAAGAGGGACACTGCTGCCCACACCTCTTACGACACTAACGGGAAGGGAAGGTATGGGCCATATATATATATATATATATATATATATGATAATAGTAATGTACACTGTACTGTAACAAATGAAAATGCATTTTTATTACATTACATTATGGCGTAATGTAATATTACTAAAATATATATCTACTTATTTATTAAAGTCTCGGCAAAAATAAAGGAATATTGTATTCTAAATGGCCAGCTTTGTTATTTATACAGGCCTTTAATCTGTCTGGCCACGAATCTATGGATTTACGCTCTGTTTCATATATATATATTAAAAATTACTTCGTAAAATCATTTCTTTATTATCAGTCATTTAATATTTTACATCTATAATAAAAATGTTAAAAAAAACTAGACGATATCTGTGTATAGAAAAAATATTAAAAGGTTTCTCGATTAGAGCAATATGTGCCAAAACAAAATTTTTTTGTTTATCTGATGTTTGTTTTGACATCACTAAAAAATTACTACATCAAAGTGGATGCAGTTTTGACAGTCGGGTTCATACAGGTCTAATTTCAAATCTAGCATATGTTTCTTCTTCATATGCCGTGTATAATTGTAGTTTTTTACTTTTAAAATTCCCGCGTACGGGATAGCAGGTCAAAGCTACTGTTTACATACTCGATTTACCAGTCATTCTGTTTTTTTATCTCGACTTTTTTTGTTCTCCTGAAAAATTTTTCAAAATGGCGTTTAATACCTTTTGCCATTTTTTTCTTTTAATTGGTGATAATGGAATGGTAACCCCGCCTGCGCTTTCTATATACGTTGGCGGGGCACCAGTGAGAGATGATAGATGACGATGAAAGCAGGTCAGTTGGCCCACCATGATGAATTCGACAAGAATTAACCATGACGGTTTCCAGGGGGAACCGCGTGGAGGTCGACCTGAGAGGGTACATTACTAACAATGGTGCTATTAGACCTTATTACTAACAATCCCTTTCCCCCCACCTTTTGCCATTAGAAAGTCGATATGAAAGTAATTTGTTATGCTACCTACGTCCACTGCGGCTAATACTGAATAGAAAGTAGTGCTTGTCTAGAGATCAGCGATTCCTGAAATGGGCTCCGTAAAAAAGGTACCATAGTTCCGCGAAATTATTTATACAGTAAAAGAATTTCATTCCTCTTCCATTAAAAATTAAAGATAGATAGATACTCTTTATTGTTTCCTCCAAAAGATTACAATAGTAAACCTATTATAAATATAAATAATTACAAGAAATAATTACAGTGAGAAAACAATGGTCGACCTTATCGCTAAAAGCGATCTATTCCAGGCAACCTTTGCATGGAGAGGAGTAATTATAAACAGTTTGAAATTAAATTAATTATTTAATTTAAATGAGCGATTTTATAATTTAATTGGTCTAGTTATTTAAAGGAAACTATAAAGTGTTATACTTAAGAAACATTTCTATTGAAAGCATTTGTTTTTATTTAAATCACACTGTTTTTGATTTGTAATCGTATGGTATGGGATACCATAAAATAAAAGGTATTTGGTGGGTGTTTCGTTATCGTAAAGTTTAAGGAACTCTGGTCTCAATAATAGTGTTCCAACCTCGTTTGGACTTTTAAAAGAAAAAAAAACCAACGCCTTAAAATAAAAGTGGCGCCACTATTTGTCTATGGACATGTTATGGAAGGTTAGAGAGAAGGGCTTGTTAATACTGGAGTTCGAATTTTTTTATTTAACTTAAAAGGGCAAGCTTGAATTTACAGGGTACAGAGGAATAACATCTGAGTCTTCAGGAATGGCAACGCATAGGGGGTATCATGGGCGAAACAGTATACTCTGTTATGTCTATGGTACTGCTCATGTCTATAGGCGACGGTTACCACTTTCCATCAGGTGGGCCGTCAGCTTGTTTGCCATACTAAGTTGTATAAAAAAAAGCTGACGGCTCACCTGATGTAAAATAGTAATCGTCGCCTGCAGATGTGAGCAGTACCATGGACATAACAGAGAACACTGTGTTGCCCGTGATACTCATCACGCGCTGAACACGGGAAAGGAAGGGTTGGCCCATTCTATGTCGGTGCACACATGACAAGACCTTTGCCAGGGTTTAGTATTCCATCTTTTTGTTGCCACGTCTGGCAGGCGGATCGACAACCGCCGCTAGGCCTTTGAGGATATTTTAAGAGGGACGCTGCTGTTCATTCCTCGCCCTTAGTCGCCAATTACAACACCCACGGGAAAGGAAGACGTAGCCTATTTTATTTTCGGACCACACGGCGAACGGATAAATTTAACATGTGAATTAATTAATGAATCTTGTAAGCAGCTATGACAAAGGTGCAAATAAGTAGATATATTCATTTATTTTAACATTTGTTATATAAGTAGGTAGGTATTGTATGTATTTATAGTGTATGTATTTATGTAATATTTAATTATATATTTTATTTAACTGTATATTTGTTTATGTATTAATAGTTGTAGCACTTCAGCTGCCCGCTAACGAAATGCTTTCTTACTGTACTGGGTTGACTGGAAGTGATCTCTGTCAGAGATAAGTGCACCCTTGCTCACAACATTTATAAATACATTATTTTATATGTAACTTACAAGTGCAATGAAGAATATATAAAAAATGGCGCCCACAATCTGTCAGTCTTGAGAAATTTAACAATAGCCGAGTTATCATCTTGTCTTTACTGCTTAGTATACAAGGAGACTTAAAATAACTTACACAATTCGCTGATACAGCCGTACCAAGGTAGTTTGTTCTCGACTCTATTAAGTTTTCAGACTGCCTGAAATTGTCCCACCCGGCTCAACAATTGACTTGTGTGAAACACATTTTCAATTTTCAACTAGCGCCGCCACAAAAATGTATTTTTCATTCTTCTATTTGAATATGTTTGGCCGATATTAGGTTTTCGTATTAGTTTACATTTTAAATTTTTTTTTTGTTTTTTTTTATACAACTTAGAATGGCAAACAAGCTGACGGCCCACCTGATGGAAAGTGGTAACCGTCGCCTATAGACATAAGCAGTACCATGGACATAACGGAGTATACTGTTTCGTTCATGATATCCCCCATGCGTTGCTATTTCTAAGGACTCAGGTGTTATTCCTCTGTACCCTGTAAATTCACGCCATATCCCACCATTCAAACCGAAACACAGCCATGCAAACACAGCTGCTTCACGGTAGAAACACGAATGGGACAGAGGTACGCAAACAAACGACTTTTGTACAAAGTCTCCCTCTGTAATGTATGAATATGGCATAATAAAAGAAAATTGAATATTGGTAGTTTTAAATTTCGAAAATGTTTGACATTTACAAATAAAGAGAAAACAAAGAAAATATCTCGATTTAAATTTCGAAAACATTTATTGAGGCACTTGACATATACGAATATAATAAAGAAAAAAAAAACGATAAATAAATTTG